AACGTTAATAGACAAAAGCTAACTTTTTTTGAGTTAAAGGCGTTTTCATTCTACGGGGTGCGGCAGGATTATTGCAACTAATATTTTCTTTAAAGATAGAAACCGATAAAAGAGAAATCAACTCACTTTAACAATTGGTTTTTAAAGTAATATTAAACAAGAAAGCCTAGTTCCATTTAAAAAGATATTTATGGGCCTTGTGACATTTGAGAAATGCATTCATCGTGGCCAAATGGAAAGAGGCATCGAGTTTATCACATGCTTTTTGAAGAAATTTCTGAAGCGAATCAATGCTGGGATTCGCTTTTGAGCATGTTGTTGTTTCAAGAACATTCGAAACATTGAAATCCATTGAATTAAGATTGGGATCTCAGGATGACCACTAAAAGTGGCCAAATCGGGAAAATGCTGCTTGCGCGAGTCCTGAATCACTCGAGCCTTGAAAGCATTAGCATCATTTTGCATTTGCCATTTGCACCAAATCCTGTTGCCAAAGTAATCTTAAAAGTTTATTTTACAATTATCTGAAAAACTACAAAAATGCGAAGAAACTGTGTTGTTAACTTTAAAAAAGATGGAAAATTTGGTAGGAAAAAGAAACAAAAACTTTAGACCAAATTTGATGCAGAAGAAAGATATTAAAATTAAATAAAAAGATAGCTGATTGGAATTTCTGTTGTAAGGTCTGTTTCTCTTCAAAAATTTCTCTTTTTTGTTCTCTCATTTGGAGAAACTTGATGAGACTGTTGACGAGACCCTCGACGAGACCGTCGATGAGACCACTTCTGAAAATGTTCAAGTGTTTTGAAGCTTGCCAAGAATTTTGTAAGATCCAAAGCTTAGTACTGTAATCCGATAAAAATTATTAGATCAACACTAAGTAACAACAATATCTTTGTCTTTATCTAAATATTCAACTTAACCCACTTCTTTCCACCACCAGAAGAAGAGGTTGCAGACGAATTTCTCTTTTTTTGTTCTCTCATTTGGGGAAGATGGCCAGAACCAGAAGAAGAGGCTGCAGTGTACGTTGGTGGGACAAACTTTTGCACGCTTTGTTGTTGATTCATCGAATATCCGCACACAGTTTGCTCAAAGAGTTCTTTGAGTTTTGCTCCAAAATGAGGCAATGCGAAGAGGATGGCTTTCATATTCTTGACATCATCAGTGGTGATCTGTTGCTGATGGTTTCCGCCGGATTGCAAGGCGTGCTCGATAGCGGCTCGTTCTGCAAAGTGGTTGATTGATTAAAGAAATACCACTAGGTTTTAGATACTATCAGCTATTTATCATTTGAATGAGTTCCTCTAAACTTTCTAGGTTTTCCAGAGCGTTTGAAACTGAAAATACTGTAATTTCAAAGTTCAAAGTGTAGCTACAATGACCTATCCTTAGTCCTGCTTAAAAATTCTAGATTCTTAGTGGACTCCAAACTCAACATACCCTGTCGATACTCATCCAAACAGCGCTTCAGATTGGCCAGTTTCGTTCGATCTCCCCCCGCTTTGATACATTTTTCCTCTTCTTCAATTGACTTTTCCACATATTTCTCAAAAACGTCATTATACGTCATAATTGCGTTTTGCTTCAAGAAAACCGCGAAACGAATGCTCGCATCCATCACCGTTTTCTGTTCATTTTTGTATTCTTTCACGATTTTCTCACACGATTCGATAATCTTCTGCTTTGTGATCCGAGCGTCTTCATTTGTTTGAATAGCATTCTTTATATTCACATCTTCAACCGATTCGTTCGTTTTCACTTGCTTGAAGCGAATGTGCATGTGAGTAGACCAGAAACAACCACAAACTGTACAACTTTGCCCACCCCGCATTGCCCAACATTTTTGTAGACGAGGTTCGGGGAATCTCTCGGGATCAACTTTGCCCAATTCACAGTGATCATGACAAATCTGTTTGTAGATCGTTTGCAATTGTTCACTGTTCGGAATCGATTGCGTTTCGATGCATTTTGGGCCAGTGCAGACGGTCATCGGATAGCTGAGCTCCTCGGTTTTGATCCCAATTTGTGGGATCAACAACTTCTGTTGCAAGTCATTGATCGTCGCTTTCGTGTTTTCAATCTCGACTTTTCGATCATTATACACTTTGATGTTCGTCTCAATCAATTCATTGATGTCGGCCAAGGGTTTAGCCAGTTGGAGAATGATTCCACGAGCTTGATTCACTGAGAGAGTCTTGTCAACAGAATGCGGTTTGCATCCAGCCGCATAGTCAAGGAAGCGATGCGTCTCATCAGCCGATTTTGCCCAACTCGCTTCGAAATTTTTCATGTCATCTTCGCTAAACTCAACTCCATCGTGATAGGCACAAACGAATTTGAAAGCCTCGTTGTCCAAGCAGAAGATCTTGCTCGGATCAAGAGCCACTTGAATCCCGTGTTTTGCTTGAAGTTCATCGAGAAAAGCTCTTAAAGGGACGATTGTATCCCCTGGTTTGTAGAAATTCCCACGGGCATTTGTGAAGACAAAAACACGATATTCTTGGCGGCATCTTTGTGCAATTGAAGTAGCAACTCTCCAATGCAATATCTAAAGCTCAACGTCATCCGAGCGTCATTCGATTTGAACAATAGACAAATTGCATGTAAATTCTTGTAAGCTGCAATTGCATTCAGAATTTTCCTTGTATTCTCCTTGTCTTGCTCAATTCGAACGAACATCTCCCATGCCAGGGGTATCGATGATAGAAACATCATACTTCGGGTGTGGGAAGAGATAAGTTCGAGCGTCTTGTGTCGCACTTTGTCCTTGTCCAAACACTTCATTCGTTGAATTTCCGATGACGATTTGTCGTTGTTGATAGTTCTCGTCACACATCGTGAACATTGATGGAATGACACAGATCGGCTCTGGGGCTTCCAATGCATCAACGATGTGATCAAAGCTCATATAGTTGGCGATGCCATTGATCCACGTCGATTTTCCGACTCCCGTTTCACCGAGTACAAGAATGTTGATCTCTTTTCGAGGCCCAGAGTATTGGTTGTTCTTTGATTGATGGAAAGTGGGTAAGTCCGGCAAAACTGGCGGATTTTTCGAAGAGCTTGGCTTGCCTGGAATTCATTTGAATTGGAAAGAAGCTTTATTTTTCATTTACTATTTTGTGTTTTTGGCTTGGATTTCTGTGGAACGGGTGTTTGTGATGCTGAGTAAGGAGGCTGGGGTCGCGGTCGGATGCCTTAAAATTGAGTTCTTAAATGTTTAGATTCATCAAAATTGAAGTATTTTCTAAAATTGAAGTACGCTTAGGAAACAAACTAAGTATGTATGTATTTTGAATTAAGTCAGCAAGACTGTATCTATTAGGTTGATGCATAAGTCTTTTCGTTTTTTTCGTACTTCTGTTAAAAAGTAACAAATTCACCAATTAATCTATAGTTTGCTCTATAAAAAAAGTGTTTTTTTGTTCAATTTCCATCTTTTTAAATGAATTTCGGTTCACTTTCAAGCAAATTCGAGAGTGAAAAACGCCTTTTTCGTAAAAATCTATAAAAAACCCTACGGAAAAATTGGCTGAATGAATTACTCTGAAATCAAACTTTTTTTCTCTATCTTTTATCTATTGACACGAAGATAGGTTTTCTTTAGCTAAGGTGTCTAAACCGCATCATCGAGTTAGCCCTTTTTGACTACCCGACTTCATACTCTCAAGAAAATCCAGGCATTAAATATTTTTAAACCCGTTTTAATGTTATTTTGCAGAAAAATAATTGGTTTTTCTAATGAAATCAACCGTAGTTTAATTGGTGCATTTGTGGGCTTGCAACGGCAGACGAAAAGGAACGAAAAGACTTATGCATCAACCTAATAAATGCCTGGTGACTAAATTTGGGGGTACAGTTTATCCAAATGCACCTTTTCGAAGTTTAAGTGTCCCTTCAAATTCATTACATCAAAACTCTCAAAGTTGCAAAGTTCTTACCTTGCATGGGTTGCATTCCATAGCCCGGGAAAGCTGGATTTGGATTGAGTGCCCCATTTTGTTGCATCGGTTGTTGTGCTTGCAGCTGCATTTGTTGCATGAAGAGCATCTAGAAGAAAATGTTTTGAACCAATCAAACTTGTAGCTACCATTTGTTGCATAAAATTTGGATCCTGCATGAATCCCATCATATTTCCGTTGGGCATCTGTTGAACTTGAGGTGGCATTTGAGGAGTTTCTGCCGGAGGAAAGCCTGGTTGGAATTGCTGAAATTATCACATTTTATAATTTCTTTGATGAATACTAAAGTTGTGTAAGTACCGGTAAATTTGGAATGCGGGATGGAGGCTGGGAATGGAGAGAGATATCTAAAAGCTTTCCACTTTAGTACAACTTTATGTTTTTTAGAAAGGTTTCATGTTTTCATTCATAAGGCTATTCGAAAAACTGTCCATTGGAAGACTGTAGCATTTTCCGGTAAAAGCTCTTAGCATTGCTACTTGTTTGGGAAAGTTGCGGCAAAATGGGGCGCGGAGGTTCCGATCGAGAGACATACTTGCCTGAAAAAAATGTCATGATAACTTTAACAACAACAACCACAATAACAGTATTTAGGTCTAAGATTTATGTACTTTTTTTCGCACACACTCTGTGCCAAATATGTACTTTGTGTTCACTAGATGCCTAAACGCCTTCTTTCTGGCGCACCGATTTCTCCATTATTTTCTTCCTACAGTGGCGTTGATGTAAGAATTGAGTATCACTTCTTGAGAAAACAAAAGCAAAATTAAAGGTGGGGATCGAACTTGTGAGGTCTCCTCCTGGAAACGAGCGCTGTACCACGGCTACACCGAGCTGCGTCCGCAAAGAAGCCGCTAAGATCCAAATGAACACACTTTCAGAGTCCTAACAAACGCTTATAACTCCTGACAGATTGTGACTTCGCAAAAACGGAATACATATTCGTAATCAGTATAAAATTCTGCATCGAATAGTATAGGTCGCATAGGTTTTGGGTTCCCTTATCGGTATGAAAACTTTCCTTTCCTAAAACTAACCATTCGAAGGATTTGTCGTACTCCCGTACAAGCTCCAAGCGTGGCTGTTTTGTGGAAGTTGAGGCGAATCAGATGGCGGTGGACGTTGAGGTCGTAATTCTTTCTTGCCTAGGATCAAAGCTTTTGATTTTTTGGATAAACAGGTTGATCAAAACAGAATGCAAACGTTTAAACGTTAGTGGGTCATTTCCAATTCATAGAATAAATCAAAATCGACAACATGCTTACCTCTTTGCTCGAACTTTTGATCGGGACTCTTCCGAGAAGTGGCACCGCGATTCCCCTTCGCTCTCGTCGGCTAAAAGTTTCAAATGGTTCCGTAAAACCTTTTACAAGTCATGCAAGCCTTGACATTATGATCGCTCCTGCAAAAGGAATCAAAACTAAGTTATGGGTATTCTTGAGCTCACCCGCGCTTTCTTGTTTTGACGTTTCGTTTGTTGTTTCGGAAGTGGTTTGAATCGTTGTGCCATCGGTGATTTGTAGGCATAAAGCGTTAGATGTTTCAGTTGACGAATCTTTGAGAGTTGCCGCGCACATTCGACAACGTTTTGTTGCACATTTTCATCGGTGAATGTCACAATTACACGACGAGGTCTTCCATTTTGTTCAAATCGTCCTTCTCGTTTGATCTCGCGAATATTTCCGGCCAGACTTCCGGCGTTGATCGCATATAGAACTTGTAGAAAAGCATTCCGATCGGCTTGTTCTTTCATCTGATCATCGCCAAATGGTTCTAGGAGGTTGAAAAGCGCGATTTTCTTTTTCACATCTGCATCGCGATCATTGAAATGCAGTGGCTGTTGAGAAGGGTTGAATTGGCGTGTTTGATCGAAAGGAGCCGACTCCGTTGCACTGACTTCATCATCCTGAAATGTTCTTGTAAATTTAGCTACAGAACTCTGTGAACTTTTATACAGTGCGTTTCAAATTCTTAAACGCACCCTCTAAAATAGCGAATTTTGCATTTTGACCACCTCTACAACTATTAATCTTTTTTCTATTAGAAAGAGCATGTCTGAAAACCTAAATAACACGAAAAATAAGCATACTGTAAAAAACAAAAATTTTCAAAATAGAAACTTTTTGCTAAAACAACCGTTTCAAATTCTTAAACGCACCCGCCCTCGCTGTTGTTATTTGAAACTTTTCGTTTTGTTGTGCATATTTTTTTATTGAATTTATAATTTTTGTTAATTTCCAGATAAATGGCACACGGAAAGCTGCTCACGGATTATGAGAAAGGCCAAATTAATGCCCGTTTGAGGATTGGCGACTCAATAAGGAAAATCGCAAAAAATTTGGGCCGATCCGACTCTGCCGTGCGAAATTATATAAAGTCCGAGTTCGTTTCTGCACCAAAGAAGAAGCCAGGACCAAAACCAAAGCTTACACCGCGAGCTAGACGCCATATTGTGAACAACATCCACCGAAAAACAATCAATGAAGTGAAAACGCAACGGAAAATCGACTCTTCGAAGTCGACAATTTGGCGAGCCATCAAGGAAAAACGCACATATCGATCGACAATTATTGAACATCAAACCGATCGTGAAGCTTTTGCACAAGAAAGCCCGATTGACCTTCGCCAAGACTCATATGAATCAGAATTGGTCTATGGTTGGAAAGCCGCTTATGTTTTATTATTTTTTTTGCGTTTAGGTGATCTTTTCCGATGAGAAGAAATGGAATTTGGATGGCCCCGATGGCGTTGGCTACTATTGGAGGGATCTTCGACGTGATCCGATGGTGTTTGGAACTCGAAACTTTGGCGGTGGTCCTGTGATGATTTGGGCCGCCTTTTGTGCTGATGGAACGGTCGCCCTGAAGATGGTTTCGAATCGGATGACTAGATAGATATCTTGAACAATTGCTTGTCGCCATTTTCGCTCCTAAATCAAGCCGTTCCCGATTTGTTTCAATACGACAACGCGTCAGTTCATCGAGCCGGAGATACCCGAGTCTGGCTGAACAGCAACAACATTGCAACTTTGGACTGACCCGCTCAGTCTCCTGACCTCAATCCGATAGAAAATTTATGGGGAATACTTGTCCGAGCTGTCTACAAGAATCATCGTCAGTTTCAAGACGTTTCCACACATAAAGCAGCAATTTTTTCGGCCTGGAGCGATCTCGACGTCTCTGCTCTTCAAAACCTCATCAATTCAATGCCAGACCGCATTTTTCAAGTAATTAATCGTTCTGGTGCGTGTACAGATCATTAGTTTTGATTTTTTACCTTTGATTTTTAATTTGTGTCGATAAATAACAATATTTTCATAGTGCGTTTAAGGATTTGAAACGGTTGATTTAGCAAAAAGTTTCTATTTTGAAAATTTTTGTTTTTTACAGTATGCTTATTTTTCGTGTTATTTAGGTTTTCAGACATGCTCTTTCTAATAGAAAAAAGATTAATAGTTGTAGAGGTGGTCAAAATGCAAAATTCGCTATTTTAGAGGGTGCGTTTAAGAATTTGAAACGCACTGTATATTACTACCAGTTTCATTTCTAGTTTAAAGTCTTTGCAATCACTGTTGAAAGACAATGCACTGATTGCAGAATCAGATCAACAGGCCATCTACAGTGTAGTATAGAATACAAAGCAAAGCCACAGTACTCAAACAATCAATCTCCTTAAAAGCCTAATTTTGACTCAGCCAAAGATACATAAATTGAGCTTTAAATGGAACAAATACAAAAAAACTACCGTAATTTAACGGCCATTCAAAGTTAAATTTCTGTGTCATTGACTGAGCCAAAATTAGCCTTTGAATACTTATCTTTAGACTACGGTAGGTTTCAATGGTGTCGTTTAGAAAACGAACTAGTATCTATTGTTTAACTTTCTGCTTTTCAACTTGCTCCATCAATTGTTTCAGGGTGACTTTCCTTGTCCAAGGCATCCAAAAATGCAGTCGCTGAGGCGGACATCGGATCGCTTGCCATTCTTAAAGTTAAATTAAAATAACTAATAAACTTTCAGAAAAACAAACATATTCAACTGTTTCGACAAGCTATTAAATTGAAAAAAAAACATAATAAGTTTTGTTCAAACGAGCACACAACGGGCACACTTTCTATACTGAACAATGAGATTTGTTTTTGTGACCACTTCGACGATGTCGAGTTCCGGGAAGTCGAATGATTTCTTGTAAATGGACGATTTTCTCAATCCAGTCTCAACAATTAGATTATTTTTTAGTTCTAAAATTCTCAGGGAATAGTTCGCAAAAGGGATCTTCTCCTCTTCATTTGGCTTCTCACTTGCCAGGAATTTCTGCTGTTGGTGAATTGCATGCAACTTCCTCAGCTTATCAATCTCATATCGATCACTTCCCGTCTTCAGCGTTTGCTCCAATTGTTCAATTGAGAATTCGGCATATTCCTCGAAAGCAGAATTCACTGAAACGATTAGGTTCTCCTGAAGAAACGCAAAAAACGGCTTGGCCAGTTGTTGGGCTTTTTGATACCTTTCCCTGCAAGCATTCAGTTTTTGCTGGCTTTGAGTGATGTGCAAGGATTATACGTTTTTAACTGTTTTACTTTTTAGGTAGAATGGACAATCTCGGAGAGGGATTGGAAGAGTTCCGCGACCTCCGGGAACTTGAGCGAAATCTCTTTCAAGAAGACGATTTAAATCGAAAAGATGAGGTAGCGATGTGGATGCAGATTTGATTGGAAGCACGGAGTTGGAAAAGAAAACCAAGCGGAAAACGATCAACATCAGGACGAAACTCGATGTTGTGAAAATGGCTCGATTTACTTCTATTCTTCAAAATTGATCTCTCTATTGTGTGCGGCGATACATCAAACAAGGCAATGAGCTCGAGAAGCTTCATGGAAAAAGAAAACGAATCGACGGGGCCGGTCGCCGCTTGACTTCGGCTGAAATCGACGCGGCTTTGGCGCTGTGAATTCGTGAGCGAAGAGCCGAGAAAAAACGCGTCACTCGTCGAGTCATTTGGAACGAAGCAGCAAATCGTTTTGTTGATGCCGAGATGAATCCATTCCATTCAATTATTTATTTCATTCTCTTTGAAAGCGGAGATAAAGGGCTGTATGAAGAAAAAAAAGCAAGCAATTCATTTATGGTACAGAGAACTTCACAAGACAAGAATATCGAAGACTTTATAAAATTAGTCCGTTTTAAAACTCAGTAGATAAAGAGATAATTTAATTAGTAAAATAAAGATGAACAAAATGTTTCCGAAAGCTAATTTGTGTTGGTCAGTTCGACTTTGTACCCAGTTTTCGAAAATTTCTGAAAGGATCCAGTTTCTGCAGTGAATAAAATGAAAGTAAGAAATGCTAATGATAAAAAAGTGTCATTGATTGCATAAAGACAAAGAAAAAGAGCTCTTCTCGTCTAGTCTTTGCGCCAAAGATTGTTTAGAAGATTCCCATTTATCGCTCAGTCACAACAAGCAGCAAGAAGATTTTCTTGGTGACTTTTCTTCTGACAAATGCATACGCGATCATTCTTATAAACTTGTATTTTGTTGAAACAATTTGCCTCAAAGAATACAATGTCAGACTTTTTACAAAGTTTCAAAGAATTATTGTTATTACAAACAGCTTCTACTACTTTTACTGTAGGCACAAATAAATTTTTACTTCGGAATTTTCAAATAAAGAAACTAAATCTAGAAATTTGTCTTTTGTTGAAACAAGCAGACCCCAAAAGTTAGGTAGTCTAGGCTTATTGTTAGCCTACAATTAGTAAATCAATTCATATGTTGCGTCCGTTTACGAAATTACATTTAAATCGGATCGGACTCGGACGCCCGTTGAAGATTTAAAATGAAACTTCAGGCATTTTAGATCGACTTTTCGGCTGTTTTCGTAATTTTCACTCAGAAATCTCACTATTTGATTAATTTTTCAATTTTAGATTAACCTATAGCCAATTTTTTATTAAAGATGCAAGTTTTATTAAGAAAATGTTAGCCAAAATTGTATTAATAAACTAAAACGATAGAAAAGGCAGCTTTCTGAGGAAAGTGTACTCAATGTCCTCTAGATTTGATGGCTATAAAAACGTGTAGCCCAACGAAAATGCGCAAAATTATGCTTGATCAACAATCTTAATTTTACCGAAATTTTATTTTCCGATCTAAAGATAAGTCCGAAACGGATTTAAAGATAAGTTTAGTTCGTAAACAGACACAACACATATATTCTGATTATTAAATAAAGAACTCAAAGAATTTAAAGAACCCCAAATTGAGTAATTGAATCTTTTCCGATTACCTATCCTCAAGAATTTTTCTCTATCATGGAAACGCAGGAAAATATCATCGTGTATATTAACTAGAGAATTAAAAGTTAAAATCGATTTTAACTGTTAATTCTCTAGATCGAAAATTCCTTCAGCTATCTCTTTTAGTAGTGAAAATTTTTTGTTTTATTTTCGAAAGGTCAAATCCATTTTTGAATCGAAGGCTTTCCCCATTGCCTTTTGATAGTTTTTGAACGGTGACTCATTTGCTCTTTTCCCCTGCCTCCCGTTATCTCCTTTTTGCCACAAAACAAAAAAAATTCGTCGCGTAAGCACACATTCTGTTGCATACGGCAACTCTCATTTTTCATAAATTCTCTGTAACAAAAAAAAAATTGCACGATTTATCTTTTCCAACAAAGGAAAAGAGACGAAAAAGTAAAAGAAGGTCAAAGAAAGAAGTGTTGTCGATTTGGTGGTATAAGAAAGGAGTGATACACTATTCGTTGCTGAAAAACGGCCAAAGCATCGATTCGGAGGTCTACGTGCAACAAATCAAGGAGATACACTCAAAGCTGCAGGCTTTGAATCCCGCATTGGTCAATCGAAAAGGTTTTATCCTGGTGCAGGACAACGCGCGTCCTCACGTCT